ATATTTATAATTAATTATAACTAGTTATGATTAATTATTCATATTTCCCCATGAGCTGATTCGCTACATTAGGTATGGGGTAGGATTAGGGGATCTAAAATATGGTCATGCAGAATAAGGCATTAATATGTGCTTTATAAACACTAATAAACAGCCAATATGCTAGAAATATGCATGCTAATAAGCAACTACTTAATAGTGAGAACTGGTCTTTATTAAAATGAAGTGTTACCCAACATTTCAATTTTGCGACATTTGATTTTGCAAGCAATTCACACAGAAATTTACTCTGCCTGTTTGTGTTTCTTGAATGAGGCCCACTGAAATTTGAAAGATTTTGTTTTCATCTTATTTGTAGTAAATATTATAGGTGTATAAATTAAATAGTTTATATGTATAAATAGCGTATCAATTTACAAAACTGAAGTAATACATACTACTAATAAATAATGCGAATAATAATAATAATAATTTCTACTTTAAATGCTGTTTCCATCAACTAAAATTAGTTTCCAAAAAAAAAAAAAATCAAATGCTACAGCAAGTGCTAAAACTCAAAAGCAAGTACGTAAGTAAAGTAAATAAAAATAAAAATAAATACATGTAATTTAAATAACAAATATTTTTTTTACAGTTGTAATACTATTCCACAATATTACTGTTTTTACTGTATTTTTGAAGAAAGAAATGCAGCCTTATTGAGCATAAGAGATTTCTTAAAAAAAAAAAAATCATGGTCCCAAACTTTTGAACGGTAGTGCATATGCATTTTACACACATAAATATAAAGAAATAATCTAACAGAGAAAAAAAAATCAAAAACATGTGAATGTAAGAATGACTGAACTGCGGCTGGATGGGAAAGCAGAGATGCATCTGACATTTGCAAGAGACACACATCAGAGGGGCTTGAGTGTGTGTCAGCCCTCTATTTAATCCTGTTTAATCCCAGCCGCCGCTCCTTTGTTTTGGCCATATTTCATCACTGGGCCCTGTCAAGTTGTTGTCTCACGAGAAGATAAAAAATCTGTCACTCTCGGCACAAGATTGAATATTACAGCTGTGAGTTATGTCTAGGGTTGTGCAGCGAAGCCAGTATTTGTATCTGCATTTGTATCTGTAACAATCACAAAATTATTCGTATCTGTATTCGGATAAAACCAGAAGTAGACGGAGCTTGAACCAGAACTTCGTACAGTTATATTTGATAAGACCGTTATGTTTAAGGTTTTACAGCCTATCTTTTTTTGTAGTTATCACTGAACAAATATGCCATGTTTAACTAAAATGATTATTTATTTATGATTATAACATGTATTTAAATATCTTCTAACAGCCAACTTCTATCTTCTACAATTTTCTTGTATAGGCAGTGCTTCGAGATGTAGTGCGGTTGTGCTTCGAGCAACGTGAGTTCGAGTCCCAGCTTGGGGACCTTTCGTGATCCGATAAATAAATATTTAAATATCTTCTAATTGAAGCAGTAAGGGCTCCTATGCAGTTTGGAAATATGGAAATTGATTTAAGTCATTTCCAGGAAATGCATGGAAAAAGGCAACTGCAGCACTGCTGTTTTATTTGCGCTTATTTCATTCATAAACTCATTTAACTACTTCACATTTACCTACTGCAATTTTAGAGGTTTATGTAAAATAACATGATTTCTTTTGGCTCACCGGTTCCTGCGCAGTTTTAAAAAGTATTTCACTTAAGTAATTTGCAGGTCTGAAAAACCTATGGGAAAAAAATCATTTCTAAAAATGTATCATACAAGTAGGAAGATTTCATGACAAACATTTAGTGATCATTTGAACACGACTGAATGAATTCAAGGTGCACATTTTCATTATGCAGAACTCTTTAACGAGTCTTTTTTGAACTTCACTAAACAAATGTGCACATGCCACGCAAACCAGCAAAAAATAAGGAAGCAAATATGTAGGCCTAGTAGAAAATGTATCTGTATTTAAGTTGATTATTAGCCTACTCCTGACAGAGAGCTGGTTTGGTTTTTGAGAGACAGAGACGTGCAGAGATGGCAACGCGGCTGTTTGATTGGTGATTGCGCTGTGCTTATTCATTCGTGTATCATATCGTAGCCTATAAAGTTTAAATCATTCATTGCCTTTTATATATACACAAATAGTAGAACGTGTATGATGTATTATTTTAGGTAATATTAGGCCTACTCTTGCCAAGCTCTGATTTCTGAGAGATGCACGGCGTGGCAACAGCAATGCAGTGTTTGATTTGTGCTCTTTCCATTCATAAAGTTTACATTCATTCACTTCACACACTCATTATTGTGTGAATTTAGAGGTTTGTGTAAAATATCACACTGATCCCCTGGCTCACCTGTGAATCTAGCAAACACCAGACTGTGCTGCACCCTCAGCTGAATATTCGGGCAGAATTATTCGTTATCCGTTATTCGTTTTTGAAGCCATTATCCGTGCCTTTCCGAATAAGGTATTCGGCTTCGGGCACACCCCTAGTTATTACTAAAGTGGGGATTCAAGTGTCACAGAAAGATTATAAACTTTCAAACCTCTGAGTTCTCTTAAAATACATAAGAGAAAGCAAAATCTCAGGCCTAACACTTATCTCAGCCATATGGGCTTGAGAAACTATTGAAGTTTCATTTTTTCCCAGCATTAATCAGTGAGCTAATAGTTCATAGACCATTACATGTACTGTATTCTGGGGTTACGATTACGTTTCAACATGTGAAATAGCGGGGGGAAATGAAAAGCTTCTTCAGTCATAAAATGCTCTGGCTCTCAGAAGTACTTCTGCAGAATTTTACAATCGACTTCTATAACAGCCCCCCTGGTGTGACAGGAATTTAAGACCATGTAGAGATTATAAGGATCTTTATTGCTAATTTTACAGTTCCTTACTGAACAATGTCTTTCATCAACAGTCATTGTGTAAATTCTCCACAAAGTGACACTTTTCACAATAAATGTCATTCATAAAACTCAGTGAAGAGCTGTTTGCTCTGACTTGTGAGCCATTTCTAAACTGATGCATCCTGTACGTACAGAATAAAAAATACATAATGCAAAGCTCAACCTTGTTAAGTAAAGCAGATCGAGTCAAGATGCTCTTTGTATAAACCATGAGGCAACTGGGTTCACTTGCTTGAACTGTAATTGAAACGATTCAAAACAAGCGCATCAATTACATCGCATATTTACACAATTTCTTTCACATTTAAACAGCCTCCGGCTCTCCATTCTGTCCAAGAATGCTCATTTGATTTCATCTAGTCAGGTCGACGGAAGGCATTTGTCCACAAATAATTTCTTATCACTTTTAAACACCTCAAAGGAGTTTTCTTTGAATGGAAACTAGGAAAATTAGGCCACTGCTGTCAGCACAAAGACCTGGAGGAATGCTTAATAACCACTTCCATCTTAAAACCCCTTGAAACTTTTTAAGTTTCTCTCTAGGTGAGTTCAGAGGTAGAACTAATGTACTGCCGTTCCAAATCTTAGCATGAAGAGCCAATTAAGTCAGCCCTTACATAAAATACAGATAAACAGGTACAAATTATGCTTTGACAAATACAAAAGATAAGAATCAAGGACAAACATTGCGCAATCAAACTGATACTTTCTGAAAAGCCATGTGCATCATAATGTATGAGGCTGAATTTGGATGTAGATGGAAAAGCCCCTTGGGACTGATACTGACGTGGCGGTAGATGAATTAATTGCTTGGCTCAGTCGATTAAGGTAGCACAGAAATGTGGAGGGTAATTAATTCTTGGGGAAGCATAGCGGATGGTGACTCAGGGGCTGAGCTGTTAACATTCCCACCCAAAACACCCACCAACACACATCTAGTGCCAACAGCACCGAAACTAGTTAGATTTTCATCTCTGTTAGAGTGCAGAAACGGAGACCCAGATGTCAGGGACAGTTTTTGAATGCAATTAAATGCACTGTTCACCCAAAAATGAAAATTTGCTGAAAATACTCACCTTCATAATAATAATATTCCACAAGTAACACACACCACTCCAGCCCATCAATTAACATACTGTGAAGTGAAAAGCTGCGTGTTTGTAAGATACAAATCCAACATTAAGGTGTTTTAACTTTAAACCGTCACTTCTGGCCAAAATACCAGGCTATAATCCATACCACTTCCTCTTGTGAAAAAGTCAATCCCCTGTTTTCCTCCTACAACAAAATCTACCTATATGTATTGTTTTTGTGAATCTGTTTTTTGTATCAGTGCATATTTCTCTCCTGTTTCAGACAAGATGACTCATTATTATGGATTATTGACTCATATTTTATCCGGAAACAATGTTTTGAAGTTAAAACAAGTGTTAATAATGGGTTTGTTTCTTACAAACATGCTACTTTTCACTTCACAGTATGTTAGTTGATGAACTGGAGTGGTGTGGGTTACTTGTGGATTATTGTGATGTTTTTATCTGCTGTTTGGACTCTCATTCTGACGGCACCCATTCACTGCAGAGGATCCATTGGTGAGCAAGTGATGCAATGCAGATTTTCCAAATCTGTTCTGATGAAGGACCAAATTCATCTTGGGTGAGTAAATTTTCAGTAAATTTTCATTTTTTAATGAACATTTCCTTTAATAAACTTGTGTTTGTCCGCATGTGTGCCAACAAAATGAGAGAATAACAGTGGGGCAAAGAGCGAGAAATAGTGAGAACGAACAATGGATGGAACAAAAGAGCAGGTGTGCACATATTGTGAGAAATAACAACGGATTATTTGTGCACTGTTTGTGTATTTTGAAAAGACATTTAATAGGAGTGAGAAGAGAATATTTGTCTGCGTATGTGTTTACTCACCACATTGCTCTCATGCACCTCTGGGTTCATGGTGAGCTGCACCACGAACCAGGTGGCATTTCGTAGGATAAATGCTGTAATCAGGTTCCAGTGGATGATATTTCTCAGACACCGGATACTCCTGAGAATGGAGGGGAAGGAAAGATGAAGGAGACGAAAGATGGAAGGAAAGAAAGAGTTAAGATGTTAGATGAAATACACTCTCCTATCAAGACTTTTTGTTGTCTTTTTCACAGGGTGTGAATGCGTTCACAGCTTGAGTTCATGTTGTTTTATTGGTAGATCCATTGTGCTGTTGAGTTTTCTTAGCATGCGGTCCCATCAGAGCACATTATGTTTATCTTTAAATGGCACACTGACTGTGTGAAGTGGTTGCATCTTCAAGCAATGCACATATCATATGATATACACACAAGGTGTAAACTGATTAAAAATGTGGTCAAATTAATTATATTATATGCCTATTAATTAAAAAAATAAAACTTAAAGGGATAGTTTACTCAAAAATTCAAAATTCTGTGATCATTCACTCATCCTCATGTTGTTCCAAACCTGTATGATTTTCTTTCTTCTGTGGAGCACAAAAGTATGGGATCATATTCCCTCCAAATCTATTGCAGTCATGGTTAAAAAAATAACAAGTGTGAAACCAAAATTTAAAAACGCAAATAAATTATATTGCACAAAATGTAAAAATGAAAGCAAAGTTTCCAGAATAGCAAACAATGGTCACGGATCAAAAAATAATAAGTGTAAATCAAAAATTGAATAACGCATTTAAAAAAAAAAAAAACTTTGGACACATTTAAAATCATATTGCACAAAACTGAAATATTAATGCAAAATTATCTTAATTGCACACAAAATCATGTTTTCCTCGGTTATATTTCTGTTTTTTGTGCTCTCATTTTCTACATTTTCTGCACATATTTTTATTTTTTGTATGCTTATGCTGTTTTTCTCTTTGCTCTTTATTCCACGTTCTGCGCTTCTTCTTTTAGATTTTGCGGTTAGAGTTTCATGTAAATCAGGGAGGGCTAAAACATCATCATTGGTCCACTAGTTCTAGATTGACAGCTCCTCTAGCCAATCAGTCGAAGAGGGGCAGTTACGTCACTCCAACGCGCCTCATTACTGCCGATGCTCAGTGTTCTGTTCACTTGTACAGGTGAAAATGGACAACTGTTGGCTGGGAAACATCTTTCCATACAGGACACCATTATATGTGTCTGTCTTTCACTGCTGTACGCCTACCCGTTAACGTTAAATGAGTAAACCGGTAAATTAATTTTTAATTAATGTAATGTTTTTGCATTGAAAACGATAGTGCTACAGAGTAGACAGTTACAGAGGCCAGGTTGATTTGATATGCACAATGATTTATTTGCGTGTTGTGTTTATTTGCATATCTACATATATAATTGCAGGGCTAAAAGTTCTCCGGCACCGTGCCGGATCTCCGCCGTGCAGCGTTTGGCTGCGGAAAAAAAATAATCCTACATTTTAAAAAAACTTGTTGATATCACTTTCGAGTCCATGAGTTCGCCTACCAATGGTGTGAGAGGAGCACAGCTTTCACTCTCAACCAAACTAACATTACCAGCCAATCAGAATATTTTGCTCTTATAAACATGAGACGCGCATCGCAGCCCTGATGAATGGAGAAGCGCGACAAAAAGCTGCGAGGCGCAATGGTCAAAGATGTCCATATAGCGCATAGGCCTATTTACATAGAAAAATAAATAAAATGCAGCGAAGCTTTGTAAACAGCTCAGAGTAATCACATCATCTCCATAAGAACGATATGATTGCCAGAACAAATTTACCGGGATTTTTGAAAAGGTCCTGTTCACACATGATCTCCATCTCTTAATGGTAACTTACCGGTAATTTACCAGTAAAGACTGTATGTGTGACTATTCCTCTGCATTTGCTGTGAATCTGAATTGCTTAACGTTCATCTGGGAAAACAGTGTGCATTACTCACTAGATTTGTAACATAAATCATTTAAACCTTTGCCAATACAGGAGAATACATCAACCTATTTCTAAATAGGCCATTTATTGTACATCACGATTTCAAAATAAAGGTTTTTGAGTTTGCATGTGGCCAAATATTAAAATTAAATGGATGTAAACATTGTTTAATCACGCCGTAAAGTGAAACGTCACCAGGCCGTTGGTGCCCTCTGCAGGTATTTGTTGTAACACATAATGTACTTGGTTATGTGGTATGTATAGGCATATTCAGGGCTGTACGTTAAACAAACAGGGCTTTATTTTTCAGGTACAGTATTTAGCAGTAACATTCAAGAAATCGAATGAACAAATATTAAAATAAAACACTACATACACTATATACATCAATTATACTTTTTTAAAGCAACTGACTGATGAAGAGAAAATGCCATTGTCATAGACTCAGACTTAACCACATTCTACTATTTTTATTTTCTTGTTTGAATAGTAGCTGTTTAACAAATGGAATAAAATTTTTTAATGTAGTATTTACAATAAAATATGTGGTAAATTAGAACACTCTTCTTTTTACTGTAATCCACAAATGTGTTATTGTTTGTGATACACGTGATTAAAACGTTTTATAGACGTTCAGGTCTGACTGGACCGATTTTGGACCCTAGTTTTGTGACTGCGCATAAGTGCAGTGTCCCGTGAGAGTAACTCTACCGCTGAGCTAACACTGATGTGAATGCATGTGGCGTTGTACATTATATTGAGACGGACAGAGGTGCCAGAACTGCAGCTGATAGAATGTGAGCTGTAGCACTATACAATGATATTTCTTCAAAAGCAGATCGTGGAGACATTTTAATCGTCCACGATCAAAAATCGTCATATCGCA